CTGAATGATATGGGTACCCGCGATCAATAAGGTTTTTTACGTTTCGGATGATATAAAATCTTCTTCGTGAAAATCCATTTACTAGAACGGCGGGAACTGGCCTTCCAAAAACACGAAATTTGGCAAAAAATGTTTTTGAAAATATCGCGGTTTTATTTGCGTTTTCTGTGAATCATTTCCGCTTCAATAAATGACCTCATACGGATTTTGATCTTTTTCGAAAAGAGAACTTTAAAAACTTCAGTCGAAAGAGAGATGTACGCAATTTATCTCAAAAATAGATTTTGCTGGCACATCCGTGGTTCTTAATGGACCACATTGAAATTGGTATAGATCGATGTATTTTTTTAGGGTGCACACCGAAATCGGATGCGCGTTAATGGCATATGGAGTTTTCGGAAATTATTCGCGTTTTACGATTTTTTTGGATACTTCAATGTAACGTGTGGCACATCTTAGCCGTCAAATGAAATTTCGCAAAATATACATGGATTGGAAGATAAACTTCAGTACTTCCTGGAAACCGCATGCGCATCAAATGATTTTGAGAATTACGCGATTTACACGCAATTTAAAATGTATATTTCATAATATTATTTTATTTTAAGATTTATTCCTATTTATAGAATTCTAAGATTTATCGGAAGTGTCTTGATATAATCCGCAAGGCGTATACTTATACACAAAAAGTGATTATTATTATATATGTAAATTTTTCGGCGATATTCGGGTAAAATAGCAGAATAACCCCAACATTTCTTTCTGAAATTTCTTGTATAAAATTAAAAAAATAAATATGATGACATTATTTCTTCGAACAAAAACCAAATATTTTTCCTCAATATCTTGTTTTGTTGTCGCTGTGATTTACAAACCGCTACACGGACTTGTGTGATTTTGATATTATTTGATTCATCATGGTGTTTAGATTATGTAGATATTTTTAAATTAATTTTTAGGTGTGTGCATGTCATTAATATAATGAAAATATTGATGTAATCTGCTATATTTTTTTATTTTTCTCATATTTCGCGAATATGTGCAACTTTATCGTGATTATTATAATATATTCATATTCCTATTTTACGGAGGAAGATATATATCAACGTTTTTGGTCAATATAATAAACGGCGTAATTTTAAGATTTTTTTTCTTATGCCTAAAATTAAAACCTCGATAACTTTTGCGCGCATCAACCAAAAATTTGATCGCGAACGGTTTCGGAGTCAGAACATTTTTCTCTATATGTGTACCAAAAATCATTGATGTGCAACAAAAACAAAAAAGCTGATTTTTTGAAAATGGAATATTAAAAAATTGGCAATATTGCCCATATATGTATATATATATGTATATATATGTATATATATGTATATATATATTTATATATATATATATAAGGTAACGGTTGAAAAAATTAAAATCGTCTAAATAATTTGCCCAACAGGGTTTCTTTCGTTAAATGAACACGATTTTTTCATTTCAAAAATTCATACCATTTTTCTTCAACCCTAACATTATTACATTTAATAGTTTTCAATTTTGAGAGACTAATTAACGCAACACTTAATGACACAATTAATCAATAATTTCATAACATCATTAATAATTACTAACTGTTGCAATCAATAAAAATCCATCCAAGAGGACAGTTACAGCCTCTTTTTAAGAGAAACATTTTCAATATAACATTTTAATAAGTTGACATACAACAAACACCTGCCTGCCTGCCTGCCAGTTAAAGAAAGAAAAAACACAAAATTCGAAATTTTCAAAATAAATGGCCATGGAACCAAAAGTCAAATTAACAACTTACCCATAACGCCCATAATAACCGCTCGGTTTTCTACTAAGAGACGTTTAATTTTGGGTGAAAATGAAAAGAAATAAGTAAAAAAGTTAATGTCCGTGTTTCCGAAAGATATATACCCTCAGCATATTGTGTGCAGAGGTCTACCGAATTATACACAGGCATTGGTAAAATATTACGATAAACAATGGATCAAATCGCTTATTCGATTCACTTCAAATTAAATTTACAGGTTTGTAAAATGTTCACCCTTTGTGGGGGAGGTACCAGAAGGAGAGGACCAAGGGGCCCAATCCCAAAGTTAATCTATATAGGGTAAACATATTACAATATGCAAAGTTTCGATGAAATTGAATATTTCGTTCACTTCATATGAGATTCACAATTTTTTAAAATGTTGATCCATTGTGAGGAGGTTCTAGAAGTAGTCTCTAGATGAGTCACAGTTGTGCCGTAGTACAAAAAATAAACCACACCTTATCACAAATCTGTCTGTATATAACCTTGGGTTGAATGCGTATTTTTTATCTAGGTTTCCCTAGAATTCTTATCTCATATCGTAATCCCTTCAATAAACTTCAATCTTTCAACTCAAAAGCTTCATAATATCACAATGAAAAAAAACTTTTCTATTGAAATCTTATTCCTTTATTATTTGTTTAATACTTGAAAGTATATTTGCAATTCAGAAAAACAAATAAAAATGCTTGAAAGCATTGATGAAGGGAAAAAGTCGTAAAAAAGTGTATTATTTTTAATACCGTCACTATTTTTATTGCTTAGATTTTTGCGTTATAATAAGACACGCATACACTCACCTACACGCAGTTTTCAATACAATGGCAAAAAAATAATTGCTAACAAGATTAATATTTAATGGCAACGTCTGGAACATTCTAGGACATACAATAACATCTATGAGGAAGTAATAAAAACAAAAATATCGTCAGACATACATACATTAGTCGTTCCAATGAGAATTTCACATATGTGACCCGGATGGTATCTATCAGTAAATAGGAAATATCATAACACACCTCCGAAGAGATGGAAACGTTCAGGTTGACAGAAAAAAAGTTCTGAGGGAATAGAGGAAAGACCAAAAAGGAAGACTTTATAGATGAGCAGAGGGTAGTATTTATAGACGAGCTGTAGAGAGTCTATATAGACGAGCTAAAGTGAGTCTTTCTAGACGAAGTGAAGGGAATCTTTATAGACGAGCTGCAGGGAGTCTCTATAGACGAGCTGAAGGGAGTCTCTATAGACGAGCTGAAGGGAGTCTCTATAGACGAGCTGAAGGGAGTCTCTATAGACGAGCTGAAGGGAGTCTATATAGACGAGCTGAAGGGAGTCTCTATAGACGAGCTGAAGGGAGTCTCTATAGACGAGCTGAAGGGAGTCTCTATAGACGAGCTGAAGGGAGTCTCTATAGACGAGCTGAAGGGAGTCTCTATAGACGAGCTGAAGGGAGTCTCTATAGACGAGCTGAAGGGAGTCTCTATAGACGAGCTGAAGGGAGTCTCTATAGACGAGCTGAAGGGAGTCTCTATAGACGAGCTGAAGGGAGTCTCTATAGACGAGCTGAAGGGAGTCTCTATAGACGAGCTGAAGGGAGTCTCTATAGACGAGCTGAAGGGAGTCTCTATAGACGAGCTGAAGGGAGTCTCTATAGACGAGCTGAAGGGAGTCTTTATAGACGAGCTGAAGGGAGTCTTTATAGACGAGCTGAAGGGAGTCTTTATAGACGAGCTGAAGGGAGTCTTTATAGACGAGCTGAAGGGAGTAGACGAGCTGAAGGGAGTCTTTATAGACGAGCTGAAGGGAGTCTCTATAGACGAGCTGAAGGGAGTCTCTATAGACGAGCTGAAGGGAGTCTCTATAGACGAGCTGAAGGGAGTCTCTATAGACGAGCTGAAGGGAGTCTCTATAGACGAGCTGAAGGGAGTCTCTATAGACGAGCTGAAGGGAGTCTCTATAGACGAGCTGAACGGGAGTCTCTATAGACGAGCTGAAGAGACTCCTGCTCTATAGACAAGCTGAACGGGAGTCTCTGAAGGGAGTCTCTACAGATGAGCTGAAGAGAGTCTCTATAGACGAGCTGAAGGGAGTCTCTATAGACGAGCTGAAGGGAGTCTCTATAGACGAGCTGAAGGGAGTCTCTATAGACGAGCTGAAGGGAGTCTCTACAGACGATCTGAAGGGAGTCTCTATAGACGAGCTGAAGGGAATCTCTATCGACGAGTTGAAGGGAGTCTCTATAGACGATCTTAAGGCAGTCAGTATAGACGATTTGGAAAGGTACACTATATACGAATTGAAACCAGAGGGCTAAGATCATGGCGTGGGTAATCTTTATACACGACCTCTTTATAGAAGACCTGAAGTCAGGCTGGGAGTTTTTATAAATAATTCGATTCCAGGAATTATTTGTAGACTAAGCTGGCAGGAAGCCTTAGTCGAACTAAAGTTGTTGACTTTTAAGTTTAACTGAATGATACGGAATTGAACGACCAGGGTAGAACGTTGTAAAAAATATGAAATATGTCCTGATTTATATTAGGCGAGTTTACTTGCGGCAATTTTTATCGTTCTCTTTTGAACTTGCTTCATTCGTCTATACAAGGCAATTCGATTTCAGAAATATATATACATATATATTTTTTTTTTGACAATGTTCTGGATTGGTATTTTAAATTACTGACAATACAAACAAAATTCACAAAACGAATTGCCAGAAAATTGTCGGTACGAGCATTTTTTTTCAAGTTCTATTCCCCTTGCCCCTCTCTCCTTCAAACAAAGACTTGCCGCAATTAAACTCGCTTAATATAAATTGGGACTATGTAATTATCTCAAGGAGTCTGAATATGTAGACACTCTAAAAGCCTTTGTATATGTGTCAATAATGTATTTATATATGCTATTTTTTATTTGGAATTGTATATTAATAACTAATTTTTATCGCTGTATTCTTTGTTCTTAACATTCAAAACCATACCGGTGATTTTGAACCAATGTCTCTTAACAAACAAATTTTTTTTTCTGATTTTAAAAACAAAACAAAAAATCTTGTTCAATTTGGCATTAAAATCAAATTCAAAATTTTCTTAAAAGTACATTTTAAATCTTTAAAATACAAAATATTAATATATATTTTCTTTCGATTACCCCTCACCACCACCACCTATAGCTACAGAGCATTTAAATCAACTGACACAAACCTACTACAATTATCAGCGTTATGCCGCATTACCACCGGTCTATTGGGGCTATCCGTCCATACAGTTTGGTCGTGCCGTCTGGACGGAATTACCAAATCCCAATTTTGCCGCAATTATACCACCTCATCTAGCTGCCACAACACCCGATGGTCCACAGTCCCTATGTCGACGGTCACCAAGTCCATTTAATAAGAATAGTCGGCCGGGCAGTAGTTTAGATAGTGAATCGACGACGGTCAATTCGCTGTCAACACCAACGACAACAACATCAGCCGCAGGAGTTCTAGCAGCAGCAGCGGCAGCGGCGGCCGCAGCAGCTGCCACGTAGCATTACCAGCAACAACAACAACAGCATCAGCAGAATTTGGGCACAACATCAGCATTAGCATCTGTGTCGGCAACGGCAACTTCAACAATGACAACAACTGTTTTAGAAGTGTAAGTATTGAATGTCCTGTTTAGATATCGAAAAATTACATATTTATTTAAGTTTTTGATTTTCGTATTTTCGGTCGGATTTTTTGAATTTTTCACAAACACACGAGTCCATTAGCTAAATATTTCGATATTTCACCATCTCAGTATCTACCGATTTCATCATTCTATTCACATGTTTTATTTTTCATTTTATTCGTAAACACAATCAACAATATTAATTAAATGTATGTTATTACGATAATCACCATCTTTCTTCCATCAAACGCACGCAGAGAATGTGGACCGGCCATAAAAAAAAAACATGGGAGGCTGGTTTTATGTCAGTCTTCCTTACCGCACTTACCACTCTTAAAGCCCATAATAATAATTGCTTCAATGCAACCAGGTTTGTAATTGTCTTTTGCTTCGATATTTGTGCTTGTTTGAAGTCCATGTTGTTGTTCATTGAACCGTGTTAAAGGATGAGCATTAAAATATACGCATGGACAGACTTGACATTTAATATCTGGAAAGCTTGTTTTAATCTAATCCATTTGTTTTTTCTTGTGTCACAATGACGAGAAGAAAAAAAATGGAAGAACATTATGTCTTATAAGAATATTAACAAAAACCCCAAAAAAATGATATCAGATTTAAATAAAATGAGAAGTGAGAAAAAGTTGAAAGAATAAAGAAGAGATTCTTTATAGGCGAAGTCAAGGGAGTCCTTATAAGCAAGATAGAGAGAGTATTTATAGGCGGTCTGAAGGGAGTCTTTATAGACGAGCTGAAGGGAGGCGGTCTGAAGGGAGTCTTTATAGACGAGCTAAAGGGAGCCGGTCTGAAGGGAGTCTTTATAGACGAGCTGAAGGGAGGCGGTCTGAAGGGAGTCTTTATAGACGAGCTGAAGGGAGGCGGTCTGAAGGGAGTCTTTATAGACGAGCTGAAGGGAGTCTTTATAGACGAGCTGAAGGGAGTCTTTACAGACGACCGGAAGGGAATCTTTACAGACGACCGGAAGGGAGCGGAAGGGAATCTTTATAGACGAGCGGAAGGGAATCTTTATAGACGAGCTGAAGGGAGTCGTTATATACGAGATGAAGGGAGTCTTTATAGACGAGCTGAGTAGGGAGTCTGTATAGACGAACTAAGTAGGGAGTCTTTATAGACGAGCTGAGTAGGGAGTCTTTGTAGACGAGCTGAGTAGGGAGTCTTTATAGAGGAGCTGAATAGGGAGTCTTTATAGTGAAATGTAAGGAGTCTTTATGGTGAAATGGACCAAAAACTTTATTTTTGTCGGTTTTTCTGGTCGCTCCAGATGCCGCAATTATGAACCAAACATCGCGAATTTTTACGTGGAGAAAGGCATCGGGCCAAAGAATAAGCATGTCTGTTAGGTCAATATTTAGCGGGTCAAATGGACCCCGACTTTTGCGTGATGTTGTTACATACGCTGATCGCTTTAAAATTTTTCAAGATGTTCCATTTATAGTCAAGGACAACGCCTATAATTTTCGATAATGATCAGATAATAATTTTGGTATGAAGTGGACTGAAAACTAAATTGTTTTGTGTTTTTTCGAGTCGATATATAGACCACAATTATAAGCCGAACATCACAACACAACCTACGGTGAAGGGAACATGGACAAGTAATTAGAAAAATGTCAGTTTAAGGAAGAGGTGCTGTTGACCTCTAATCGGACAACAGGGTGTAGATATCCGTGGCAGTTGTGTAGGGTATCGTATGGTCAGCCCCGTCCGACTATACTGCTCCGCTCACTGGTTAATATTATTATTAATTATTTCGCACATGGTTATCGTATGTGATGCATTTCTCATCTCCAGTCACCATCCGTTTAAGAAATGGGTCTATCTCATTCCGTTTGGCCAAGCCTTCGCAGATGGAAATTCGATCCATTTTATTTTTTTCTGTTAATTGGTATGGCACCCAATCGTCGAGCTTTTTTTGAATCCATCTCTGTCTAAATGGTTTAAAACAGTTTTATGGTCAATTTTAGCTCCTGGGCGATGTTTAGACTGCTAACATGCCGGTGAACTCCGACAATATCTCCGATTTTAATAACATTTTTCCCCAACTTACTTTTTTCAATATTTTGTCATAATCTTGATATAGTCTCAGCAATATGGCTCTAATAGGCATTTCGAATTGTTGGAGGATAAATTACCTCTTAGCAGAAACTGTGCAATATAGGTCCAAATTTCAATCCATTTTTTTTTTTTTTTGTACATTACAACATATAGATCCGATATTTAATATCTCATTTCTCAGTGATTAAAAACCTCCTGGCAAACAATTTTCAATGTAGTTCCATATTTCAGCATAGCCCGCATATAAAGATTCTGGCCGATTCGCTGAACATAAATTTCTTCTACATTTCCCCAAAATGCCTGAAAACTTCCAACATTGCAAATCTGTCGATGGACATGACCTACAACAACACAACACCACAAAATGCTATGTTATCATTTAATACGTCATCATCAATTATGAAATATGTTAAATTGTTGTTTTACTTTTTTTATACATAAAAAACAACAACTGTTTTATAATGCTCATAAAGTCAAAAGATTGATAAGAAAGCATTTTATTTTGTTTGACAACAAACCTCACTCCCTTGGCTCCTTAACTTGTTGAATTGTGTTTGGTAACATATCATGACGACAATCGCCATGACAACCAGATAACAACAAAAATGTTTCGGGACGCTAAATAAAAAACATATAAAGGGCAAGTATACAAAAACTAAAAATAGAATTAATTTAATTTGAAACAAAGCAAAAATTATTTTAAATAAAAAAAAAATATATATATATATATATTTTTTTTTAACACTTCATATTCTACATCAATTACAAAATGTTACTACTATGCTTTTATTTGGTATATAATGCCCTTAAAATATTAACACCGACAACACCAGCAGACGATGAGCAGCAAACATACAACACTAAAATAAGGATAGGATGAATTTAATTTTTTTAAACACACCAATAGATATTCTAGTTTCATATTTCCATCGCGAAAAAAAAACTACTTTTTTATTGTATTTTATTCTCCCATATATTTAACTATTTAATTGTTTTAATAATATTTTACACATTATTATTTATTCATTGGAACCCCCGATAGTTGTGGGTATGTGTGTGTGTGTACATTTTGTATTATAATAATTAATTAATTTACAGGTGGTGTTCTCATGTTCTGCCACTTGTCAGGAATAAATTAATTCATTTAAGATATTTATTACCAGTTGATTGCTGGGCTCCTGAAAGTGGTAATTAGGCCGCTCTGCCTATGAATTGTATTTAATTATTAATATAATAAAACACACGAATAGATACCCCACAGATGCTCCGGAATACATGTTTGCCTATGTTGGCCCTAGGTTGAACAAGAAAATATTAACTTTGCAACTGGGGTTATTAATTGGGAGTTTAGTTTAGGTGTCAGCAGATACATACTTCGTTAAACCACTTAAAAAAATGAGTTAAGAAATTTATGAAATATGAGAAAAGCTCGGTGTGATATCCAAAACTCAAACTTTAAACAGTAATGGTGTATAGTTGAGAATGATTTTTAATTACAACAAATAAAAAAATCGTAATTGGAAACCCTCCACCATAGATATACTGGCAGATACTTGCAATGAAAATATAGAGAACATAAAAAAATTGGACCTATACGGACAATTCTACAAACCGATTTATGTAAACCATTATGTACAACAAATACAAATTTCAGCAATTTTTAATGGGGATTTTTTTTAATGTGAAAACCCCAAAACGTGGACTGATACTGATAACGCATAGTAGGGTATAAAATCCCCAAACTACTGTAATAAAAGGGGACCATTACAGATTACATAGTGTAGAAATTAATATTTGGGGTCATCATTGTATGGTGCACCATTTACTTAAAATCGGTGCTACATCTAATCTGAACCGATTTCAATAAAACTTGCGTGTGCCAAGTGTATCCTAACTTCAGTACATTGTGCAAAATTTTGTGCCAATCGGCCTAAATTTGAATCTTTGGTGCACCATTTGCTAAAAATCGGACGAAAATATATATGGAGCTATATCTAAAGCTGAACCGATTTCAATAAAATTTTGCACACGTTTGGATATCCTAACTTTAGTACGTTGTGCAAAATTTCGTGCCAATCGGCCTAAATTTGACTCTTTAGTGCACCATTTACTTAAAATCGGTCGAAACTATATATGGGAGCTATATCTAAATCTGAACTGATTTTTCCTAATTTCAATAGGCCAAATAAATGATCTGTGCCAAATTTTATCTAATTCGGATAATAAATGCGACGTGCACTTTGTTTACAATTTAACATGGACAGACGGATATTCTCAAAAGGAAACATGGGTCTATTTCATATCCACAGGTAAAGGGTATAAAAAGGGGGTTATATGGGGACTACCCCTAAAAGATGCCAAATATTAGTAATTTTTGGGAGGGAGAATTATTGTCATATACCACTAAAAAATACCAATTTACAGCGAATTCCGTTGAAAAACGCACTCAGTAAATTGAGGGTACCGTTATATGGGAGCTACCAGAAAAAGTGGACCTATATTTATAATTTTTAGTGGAGAAATCTGGTATCCAATAAGAACACAATGTACCAAATTTGAGGGAATTCGGTCGGAAAACGCGCTGAAGAACACCAAAATACCGAAAATTGTGGGTACCCTTATAAGGGGGCTTACCCGAAAAAATGGACCTATATTTATTATTTTTAGTGGAGAGATATGCTACCCAATAACAACTTAAAGTACTATATTACAGCCAATTCGGTCGAAAAACCCTCAAAATACCGAAAATTGGGTCGTACCCTTATATGGGAGCTATGCCTAAACGTGGATCGATATAGG